CCAATAAAGACAGGAAGAATACAAAATTGACTATTACAACAAAACTACAAAGACACAGCCATTATGAATGATGCACAAACTGACAGCCTCCAACAAAGGTCCTCCTATAACTACAGCTGCCAACAATGATCCACCAAACTAAGAGATTACTATTTCCACAACACCACAACTACCAACAAAGATCCCCTTAAGAATAGACTATTTCTACCACCAAAACTACCAGCAAATATCCACCTAACTTAGAATTGACTATTACTTTAACCCCTCAACTACCAACAAAGATTCACCTACGAGTTGGCTATTTCTACCGCAACTACTCAGAAAGGTTCACCTAATTTAGAATTAACTATTACAACAACCCCACAACTACCAACAAATATCCACCTAACTTAGAATTGACTATTACTTTAACCCCACAACTACCAAGAAAGATCCACCTTACTTAGAATTGACCATTACTTTAACCCCACAACTACCAGCAAAGATTCACCTAAGAGTTGACTATTTCTACCGCAACTACTAACAAAGATTCACCTAATTTAGAATTGACTATTACTACAATCGCACAACTACCAACAAAGATCCACCTAAGAGTTGGCTGTGTCTACCACCTCAACTAACAACAAAGATCCACCTTAAATTGACTATGTTTACCACTGCAACTACCAACAAATCCACCTAACATAGAATTGATTATTATTACAACTTCACAGCCACGTATAAGGATCCATGTAATTAAGTATTGACTGTTTTCAGACACAACTACCAACAAAGATCCTCCTAACTATGAATTGACTATTATTACACATTTACAGCCACAAATAAGGATACATGTAATTAAGCATTGACTGTCATTCAAACCCAACTACCAACAAAAATGTACATAACTAAGAATTGACTAATACTACAAGCTCACAGCTTCTAACAAGGAGCCATCTAACCTAGAATTGGCTGTTACAAAAGATCCAGCCATTATCAAAGATCATTACCGAAAAATCGACTATCAACAGGAAGAAACCCACCAAACCAGGCAAGTTTTAGAGTATTGGCCATTACTGAAAGAAAAATATATCAAATTCAGGTATAAATAACAAAATAGACCACGAATACTGCTTATTATAGATAGAACAAAACAGACGTCTTACGACGAGAATTACTGAGAATCGATTAATTTTACAAAGGAACAACGACCTGCAACTACAGCGTTGACTATCCTACAAAGAGAAAACCAGCGCCTGACTTTGTGACGGAGTGCAATATAACAACAATTAAGAAAAATATAAAAAGACAGTAGCAAAACAAAGCGAGATGAGACAAGAGGAGAAAAAGCTGACAACTATTTTTTTTATCCCGTATAAATAGATATAAACTTAATATGCAAGTCTAACTTGAAAAACCAGCGGTTTTAATCTATAATACTTATGCAAAATAAATGTTCTTAGGTTTGTTAACAAGAAAAATAAAAAAATTGTTCAATATAAATAGCATTGTTTCTGTAAATTTATTATTTGTATTCGAACTTCGATTTTCTCGACGATGGCCATCCAAATCCAGAGAAAACAGAAAAATATTAAAATATATATCATATTTACCAGGTAAATATCATTTCTTGGTAGGAGAGTAAAATGATACTTGTAAATATGTTTTATTATAAAAAAAAACATGTCAATTGTTCAAGGGAGTTATGTTTATTTTGATACAAAAATACATTCTAGAGCCACCAGGGTTTTCAGGAGGCATTTTATTTTTCAACGTTCGTCATTTTGGATGTGATCTAATTTTATCTCGGCCTGATTTGATAATTTAATTGACTTCTTTATAGGTTTTTTGTACTTTGTTACCTTGGGCTTGACGGTCGGGTCTACTCTCCTCTCCGGTGGCGACTGAACGACCCCGGGAACGCGAATGGAATCGATACCCCCACTTTGGCCAGGCTTAAGACCTACATCGCCTCGGAGATGCGAGCAGTCGATCAACCGGTAAAAAGTCAATTCTACCCAATTTGGACAATCTACATATGGTCCGGCCAGTACGAATTTGAAAATAGGAGTCGAAAAAAACAAAGACATGTGACCTAGAGGAGTTGCAACCTCGACTTTATGGAGAGACTGCAAAAGAAGCTTCTTCACCATTTACAAATCAAAAACCAACTCGAATATAATTAAACTATTGTTAATACATCTTAAGTAAATTGAAAACCATCTACACTACAAAAACTTGTACACTGCCACATTTCATCAGAAGGTATTCATCAAATTGTCAAATCAAGCCTTTATTTGGATCGCCAGAAAGACAACCATTATAACTGTATTGATTTTGATTGTATTGTTACACTTTGATTGGATATTGGATAGTATGTTGAGTGAGGGGAGAGAGAGAGAGAGAGAGAGAGAGAGAGAGAGAGAGAGAGAGAGAAGAGATAGGGAGAGAAAGTAGAAAAAAATAGAAAATATTGCAAGAGATTAATAAGAAAGAAGAAACAAACGAGATATAGAGAAATAAAATATAACTAAAATCAAATAATTAAATAATTTCAAGTGAACAATTTAAGAAATGGTGTTTCTTTCTAACCTAATCCTTGATCTGTCTTAGCCTTTTATTGGTCCAATTAAAGATTTTATCTCGATTTAACTCTTTCTTTAAGTAAATATTGTGTGATGAAATTATTATTTAAAAAAGGTAAAAATTAGTTAGAACTCTGCATAATAATATTTTGTTTTTTGGGGTCAAATAAAAGTCAATTATGAATTAATTAGACCTGAGGCCTTTCTAGTACTAAATTTTGCAATAGTATTTTGTATTAGATGCTTCTGGCAACAGTCAATTCAGGAAACTTTAGATCCTAGGTTTAAATCTAGGTTAATTTATAGTAGTAATAAATTCTGGGATAGTACTTTGAGCTGGATGTCTTTGTAATAATAGTTTGTTTTACGATTGAGTCAAATTTTTTTGTTATTGCAATAAATTATGAAATACCTTTTTATGATAGGTGTCTTTGTTGTGAAATTCAATTAGGAATAGTTATAGGTAGATGTCTTCGTAGTAGTAGTAAATTTTGAGTTAGTAATTTGTGTTAAATGTTTTGGAAATATATGTTTCTTAGTGACCTGTTGTTTCATAATTTGTTCAAGTCGTGAGGAGGTAGTTTAGAAAAAGACCTTTTTCGTTTTTCTGCCGACGTTTCGACCTTTATTCGGGTCAACTTCAGGGCCTGGGTAAATCACAAAACTACGTTAATTAGAAAAAATGCAATTCAAGATATAAATATAAATTTTCAACCAAGTATTTCACAATTCGGTTTGCTAATAAAACTCCACTTTGAAATAATAATTGGTGCTAGATTTCTTAGTATTAATAGTCAATTCTGACAAATAAGCTTTAATAAGTAAGCTTTAATTTTAATTAGTAATAATCAATTATCGAACAGCATTTTATGCTAGAGGTCTTTGTGGGACTAGTCAATTCTGGGATAGTACTTTTACATAGATTTCTTCCTTGTGTAGTCAATTTTGTAAACGTATATTATGCTAAATATCTTAGTAGGAATAGTCAATTCTGATACAGTACGTTTTGTTATAATTCTTTGTAGTGATTGCCAACATTGTAATAGCAATTTGTTCCAAATTTATTGGTAGTTGTCAACTTCGAAATCGTACTTTGTAATATATATCACAGTAGTAATGGTCAATTTTGTCACGTTTGTAAGTTGCCCTAAATGTATTGTAGTAACAGCTAATTTTGGAATCGTAATTTGTAATAGATGTTTTAATGTAATAATTAATTTCGGAATAGTTTGTTAGGCTAGATGTCTTTGTACAAATAGTCTATTTTGGAATAGTTTTTGTGCTAGATATCTTTGTTGTAATAATCAATTCTGGGATAACATTTCAGCTGTATTTCTTTCTTGTAATAGCATGTTATGCTAAATATCTTTGTGGGAATAGTCCATTCTGGAATTGTACTTACAACGAAGTTTACTTGTAGTAATTGACACTTTTTTAATAATAGTGACTGTCAATTTCGGTAGAGTACTTTCTTATTTATATCTTTGTTGTAAAAGTCAGTTTTGGCAATGTACTTATGCTTGGTTTCAGTGTAATATATAATAATCAATTCTGGAAGTGTTTTTGTACTAGATATCCTTGTAGCAATAGTCAATTCTGACAAAGCAATTTACTAGCTTTGTTTGAAGTAATAGCCAATTGTAGAATAATTTTTTGTGCTAGATGTCTTTGTAGCAATAATCAATTCTGGTACAGTATTTTTTATTGTATTCCTTTAAAATTATAGTAAATCAATTCTAGGATAGTTCGTTAAGCTTAAATTCTTTGTGGAAAAAGACAATTCGTTAGAAATTTATCATTTGCATGAACCTATTTCTATTCATGAACCTGTTCTATTTTTTTATTTTGACACGAGACGCTGATGTTTTTTAATAATTACCGAATATACTCAGTAAATTTTATTGTAATGTTTTCATTTTAGAATAGAAAAATTCTTATACTTTGTAGATGGATTTTTTAATTTGGCTTATTTCAAGACAAAATTATTTTTGATTTAATTTATTTTATGGGGAACTTATAATAATTTTAACCAGCTTTATTCATATATGATGTGTACTTAACGTATCATGTATAATGTATATAACATATGTAATACGAAATCTTGACAATTTGACAATTCTGTTTATAGCCAGTCACACTAGTAATGTGAATATTTGATTTAATTGTACTTATGGGAATGTATAGAGGAAAATAAAATAGTTTTATAGGGCCGGTAATCATTGATCGGACTTCGTGTAGTTCCAGCCAAAATAAACAGACTACAAGCGGTGAGGCTAAAAACAAATTTTGTGGTAGTGTAAGTGAGTGTATGAACTGAGGTTAAAAGAACGATTTATACGACAGGCATATTGGGGGCAGATTGTTGTCAAAAATCGTCAAAAATATATGATAAAAATTAATTAATAAGGAGAAGAATTAAGAGCATAAGTTTGGTACCTTGTTCGGTTGAATGGTTGTCCCGTAGATAACGTTTCAAATTAAATCAATACCAATCATTTTCAACCCACCGCGAGCAAGTACCGAACTGGTTCAGGAAGCGGTGTTTTCCGTCCTGGAGGCTCCAGCGTTGGACTATATTTACACCTCTTTTAACAGACACCCAAGACATCCTGACTAAGCATTATTTTTAGCCCGAAAGGGCAGGTACATACGTATCTATATATCTTATCTGAACAATAACCCTGTGCTTTCGAGATTCCGGCCGGAACGGGTGTTGTTTACAGAAATGCTCTTTGGACCGCCTCCAGTGAAGAGGAGCTACTTCCTCCTCCTTATCGCCCTTGAAGCTATTCGCCAAAATAAATCCTTTTTTTAATGCAATCTGGCATACAACGGGCAGTATATGAAAATGATCAGAAAACATCTTAAAAACTCGAAACCATTAGGTGTTTTAATTAATTAAATCACTTTTTTCGTTTGGGAAAATTTCAGTACTAAGGATCTAAGCAGTTCTGGGTTTCAAATTTATTTAACTGATCTTAAGATTTTAAGTTTAGCTCTTGCATTACAGTAGTTTCCCACATCCCCTGTATACCATGAGTGTCGCCCTTCGTTTTTAGGTTTTGTGAAGAGGGAAATAAAGGCGGAAGTCGGTCGTTTGGGATAGAACGGAAGCTTTGCCCAGAGTGTAACATAAACTGGGTCGCACGAACCTTCAAGGGGGGCAAAGTCGTAGAAAACTATATCAATAGAATCATGGCAACCGAATGACGTGCCCGCTGTGCGTAAGATCTTCACGACAAAATCGAACTTCCGTTACGAATGGGATATCGCACCGTAGATGGGCCTGAACTACTTTCATTCTATGCAATTTGAAGGAAAGAAAAAAAGAATAATTATATTCCAAATTTGATAATCCCTGACCGTATCTATGCTGCTTTTTTGTTCGGTTGGAGTTATTTTAGCATGTGTGTCCTTTTTTTCTTTTATTGTACGATAATCGTACTTTGATGTATGAATTAGTTAAAACGTTGGTCCGTTAGTCAATGTTACTATGGTGTAATAATATTTTTAAATAGGTAGTTCGATATTTCTTAAAGTAACAATCTAATTTCAAATATTACTTTATATTTTATTTGTAATAAATGTTAACTCTGGAATGGTTACAGCTATATTTCTTAGTAGTAATAACCAATACTAGAATTGTGTTCCGTTTTTAGCAGGCCTTGTCAATTATATATTTAGTGCTAGACGTCTTTGTAGTAAAAGTCAATTCTGACAAATAAAGAGCGAGATATCTTTATAGTAAAAATCAATGATGGATTTGCATTTGGTTTTAGTTGTATCTGTAGTAATAGTCAATTAAACAATAGGTCTTTGTGCTAGACATCTTTGTAGAAAAAGTCAATTCTGAGAAATAAAGTGCGAGATATCTTTTTAGTAAGAATCAATAATGGAATTACATTTGATTTTAGTTGTGTTTGTAGTAATAGACAATAAAGAAAAGTTAGAATATGGCTTAATATGCTATCCATTAAGCAACATAAAAGAATAGTTCTTTGTGTTGAACGTCTTTGTAGTAAAAGTCAATTCTGAGAAATAAAGTGCGAGATTTCTTTGTAGTAAAAATCAATAATGGAAGTTTAGTTGTCGTTGTAGTAATATCTATTTTTGTGTTTTTTTTTTTTTTTGTAATTTTCCATGAGTACAATATTGTTAAAACCTCTTTATTTAGATTAGGGATCAAAGAGATCAATTATTGTAACGGGATATAATAGTGCCCCGCCACTTCCCCTGAAACTTAAAGGAATGTGTTCTATGTAAATTTATTACAAATAAATCTAAAAAAAAGTAGTAATAGTCAATTAGAGAATAGTTCTTTGTCTCTCTCTTTTAGTTGTGTTTGTAGTAATAGACAATAAAGAAAAGTTAGAATATGGCTTAATATGCTATGCATAAAGCAACATAAAAGAATAGTTCTTTGTGTTGAACGTCTTTGTAGTAAAAGTCAATTCTGAGAAATAAAGTGCGAGATATTTTTTTAATAAGAATCGATTTTATTGTAGTGATAATCAATAATGAATTGTATTTGGTTTCAGTTTCTTTGCAGTAATTGTCAATGAAAGAATAGCTCTTTGTGCTGGACATCTTTGTAGTAAAAGTCAATTCTGAAAAATCTATGGCTAGATATCATTGGAGTAAAAATCAATTTTATTAAGGTAGAACTAAATTACTTTATAATAAGTATATCTCAATTCTAGAATACTTTCAGCTAGATTTTGTAGTAAAAATAAATTTTGGAGGAATTGGCACTAAATTTCTTTATACTGTAGTGAGATGAATTTCTCGAATAACACTTTCAGCTATTCGTCTTTGTAATAAAAGCCAATTCTGAGAAATTAAGAGCTAGATTTGCATTAAAATCAAGACAGGAATTGTACTTGGCTTTATATGTCTTTGTAGTAAAAGCAAATTGTTCAGAATTTTGGTGTAAACTAAAATAAATTAATATGATAGGATCAATAGGTGCACTTTGGCCAACCTCTCAGCGGTAGCCTGGGCTGGCCTGGTCGGGTTTCTGATTTGGACACTACTTGCGGGACTTTGGCTGTATGCTAAAAAGGCGAGGCCATTAAAAAAAAAATAATAATAAAAAAATTAATATGATACAAGTATAATTCAACGATCACATGAAATTGTGTTGTTTGTTCTTTGTTGGTAATGTGTTTGTACTAGTATACATGATTTGTAATTATGACAGGAAGTTAGTAACAAGCAGTAGCTCACTTTGCAAAAGAAAAAATCAATTTTTTCTACTTCTTTCAGGAGGGAAAGGGTTAAACTTCCTTTAAATAAATATGCATCTTTAAAAATAAACTTTAGCAGTTTAACTATATACACAGGCTGTAATATAAATGTAGATATTTAAAAAAACATGTGGACAAGTTAATTTAAGAATTATGCTATATTACAATAATTAAAAATCTTAGAACTCCGAATATTGGTAATAAAATCACATACTTCTCATAATACAAATGACGTAAACACAAATATTGACTATTATGCTGCATAATATTTTCAGATAGGTAACTTAAGGCAATATATGTATAATAAAAATACATGATTAACCAATAAAATATAAAAACATATCAAGCATAAATTAGTTTATTCTGCTTTTTGAGTACCAAGGTTTCAGTTTTCCAGACAGGTAGCGACCTCGATCCGCTGCTAGACGAACCTCAGGAAGAAATGCCCTGAGAAAACTTTCTATACATATTTTATATTCCCACTATGATTCATATTGCATAACATTTTCCTAACAATATGATCCTAATTTTAAAACAATTAGGTCAAGATTTTTTTAGTCATCTCTAAGGTAATTTTAACAAATGAATACCTGCAATAGTTTTTTTTGTTTAATTTTCTATGTGAATCTTCAATAAAATTATGTTTTAATGTGTGTGTGTGTTTGTGTAAGTGTATTTTAGGACTAATTGATTGATCACTCAAATAGATCTATTAAAAAGTCAAGTAAAAATTGTTTCAAAAAGATTTCGTTAGGGATTTTATTTTACACATTAAAAAAATTCATTGACAATATAAATGAACTTTAGAGTTATGGTTTTATAGACGATTCTCTATTTACCCTTTATGATAATCTTGATGTTTTATAATAAATGGATTATGTAAAACTGACAAATGAAAGGCGAGGATTATTAGGGTTGATCCAAACAAAAATACTTAATAATAAGTTGGTTTAAGTAGATGTTTTAAATTTCGAGGTTTCTAGTTTTTCTGTAATTTTCACAGGTTTACCTTGTACTAAAATTCAACTCTGTAGTTGTACGTCTTAGACTGTTAGAGGGGCTTTGTAGTAAAAGTCAATTGAGTAGTATTTGTATCTTAGCGTCTTTGTAGTAAAAATCAATTGTGCAATATTTGCATCTTAGACAGTTGGAGGGTCTGTAGAAATAGGCAATTTTGTACTTACACATTTTGGAATGTTTGGTGTCTTTGTAGTAAAAATCAATTGTGTAATATTTGCATCTTAGATAGTTGGAATGTCTTTGTAGAAAAAATCAATTTTGTACTTACACATCTTGGAATGTTTGGTGTCTTTATAGTAAAAATCAATTGTGTAATATTTGCATCTTAGACAGTTGGAGTGTCTTTGTAGAAATAGTCAATTTTGTACTTACACATGTTGGACTGTTTGGTGTCTTTGTAGTAAAAACCGGTAGTTCAAAATTGAAAAATCGGGGAAAAAAACACTTACGAAGTTTTTTTAGACTTTTGATATTTCCTTAGTTTTATAAAGTTTTTCTAGATTTTTTGACCAAAAGTTTAACAAGATTGATACACGAAATCAAGTTGAACTAGTCGACAGGCTACATTCCCTAACTCACAACTCTTGACTCAACGGTACTTCAAAATCGAAAAACCAGAAAAAAACATACTTTTAAAAATTTTTTTAGATTTTTGATATTTTTTTAGTTTTATAAAGTTTTTCTAGATATTTTGACCAAATTTTAACAAGATTGATACACAGGTCAAGCTGAACTAGTAGAGTTAGTTTTAAACTACTTGAAACACAACCTGTATTAAAATTTGCAGATAGGACAGATAGTATTAAACCGAGGATTTTATCGGCTGCTGGGGCAATAATAAAATATTAATTCTAACATGCTCACTAACCTGACTGCCAGCAGAGTGAGTTGATTTACCATTTGTAAATCCCTCCTAGAAAAAGAAAAAAATTAGATTAAATGAGATAATAGTAGACAACTTACATAAATAGATGTTATATAAATTAAATATACCCTTTGAAGGCAACAATCCTTTCTTTGAAACAGCTACAATGAACCAGCTATCTACACACTGTTCAATACTCGCGAAACAACTTAACGCACTGTTTAAACAGCACTCTGTGAAAATGTAGGAAAAACATACAAAAACGGCACAACACCATCTAGAAAAGAAAAACACAAGAAATATATAAAACTTACAATAAATGAAATATAATGTACAATGACAATCAGATTACAGAAAAATTGTATTAAATAATAACTATAACATACAAAAAGGGCAGAATATGATTTCTTGTACTATACTAAATAGAATCTCCTTATAAATAATTTTACTAAATCTTATGTAAGTTTTGTTTGAACTTTCAACAGGAATGAACTTTTGGTCAACCAATAAAATGTACATTTTTAACAGCATTGATACAATAGCAAAGGCTACAAACCCTACAATATGTGGTTATTAATATAAAAAGAACTTATTTCAAAATGAAATAAAATAACTTTGACTTAATATTGTCAAATTCTTTTGTTGTGGGTGCAAAAGTCAGTTTAAACAGCTCCAATTATCATTGTTTTTGTTAATAATCAGTGAAGTAATTTGTTCAAAGCCAAAAAAGGTTGAAGAGAACTGAGAATTATTTTTTAAATCAGACTAGTTAAAAGATATGCTATAGTGAAATGGGGAAGGGAAAGATCTGGGGTAAACTTTTCGTGCCGGACATAGCAGAGAATCTGTCAACCCTGTTTGGCCTATTCTTAGAAAGGTGAGTACGATACCTCTTCACCAATTCAGATCATCCTAGGGCCCCCTCCCCAGCTCATCGATGCTCTATTTCAATTTAATCA